AAAAATTAGAGACCGCTCTTTTAGAGCCGCTAAGAGAATTTGTGATACCTTGAAATTTTAGCTGCGTAACTAAACTATTACTGCGTACTTATTGCCTGTGAATAACTTGCTAAAATTCAACTAAGTACACATTGTTAATAATTTGAAAAACTTTTCTGGGGACTATACTTACAAATCAAGTGATAAAATGAGTAATTTTGCAAAAAATGCGTTAAACATCATCAAAAATATAGTCTCATCTACTCACAATCAGATATGGACGTGTTTTATGAACCATGCACAGACGGTAAATCCAACGTATGTAGTTTCGCATGCATTGTAGTGGCCTCCACGATACCTCGCGACGGTGCACGGACTATCCATCTGGGCCTCGAAAATGTGGGTGCGTTTCTGTATCTGGCCGACAGGAGCTCTGCAGGATACCTGGAGGCAAGCTCTATTTATGAATCGGACTGCACCATTCATCGTCGCAAATTCAATATTAAATCAATACTAGTTCGCGTGTTCTCATTTGGAGGCTCCCCATCTCACCTCCTGCAGAGGCTCCTCGCCAGATCGCCACTTGAGATCCGTCTCGGAGCTCTGGATCGTAATCGACTCCCAGACCTGCGCCATAAATACTGTAATAAGGCTATTAAAAGAACATTCTAATCGCCAGCTCAATTTGGATAGGGAAATATTGATGGTGAAAGTACAGAAACACGTATCTTGCTCACGGTGTTTTGAAATCAATGATTTTTTCATTTTTTTGTGTGAGTAGTGCTTGTACTTTTCATCATTTTCCGAACTCCTCAGGGTAATGCTGTTAAAATGCGGGTGAGAGCAGATATTCTTTTACGGAGTGAACACCGTTTTTTGAGGAGTAGAATCTTCTCACCATTCCTCTTACAGGAGATGATTGGCAACGACATGTACCCTGAAGTAAAATATCCTACAGAGCTCACTCCGAAAATTGTAAATGTACATCATGGGATTTGAGCGATTTTACGTACTCTGTGAAAAATATCGGAATGAGATCCGGAGATAACTTTACATCAGAGCATATATTGGTCTCAAACAACCGAAGTGATATGAGCACGGAGCAGAATAAAATCTTTTGGTGGAATTACTCCACTATCACGGTGTGAATTGCACTCTTTGTTCTTATAACTTCGGGTTTTTAAAGGAAATCAGGCTCTGGTGTAAAATTTATCCCGGATTCCACTCGGAGATACTTAACAGTATAAAGGGCTGGTTCTACCATCTCTGTGTATAAACGAAGATTACCAAAGTTGAAATTCTAATCACCAGCTCCTTTTGGAAGGCAAAACTGGTGATAAGAGGTACAGAGACCATCAACATTGGCGCGGTAGTTACAAAGTGCGTCTCTACTCTTTAAGGTGTTGTATATATCGTTTTCAGGAAAAGACGAGGAAATCAACGTTAACTTTTTATTTCTAACGCTATTTTCGAAGATTTTTGTATACATTCTATGGTCCAAATGACATTTTTCCTTTGAATGGAACATTTTGGAATTAATTGAAAGCCTCAAGTTCCGACTAAAATTCGACAGGTACCAGCCCAGAGCGCTTGTCAACTTTTAACCTAGGGGTAAATTCGTTACCAGAGGTGTTGAAGCTGGGTCTAAGACATAACTTCATTCCTAGCTTCAGAAAAGTTTGCAAGAGCCCTCTTTGGATTTTGCGGACGACCAGGCAAAGCCGCGATTCCATATTGCGACCGGGCGGTTTGAGAGCGAAAAAATGATGGCTACTCTTACGACAAGCTCTTTAATCGGTAATCCTTCCGCGTGCAGTGGAAGGCGGTGAGCAAGCGCGGGCCACGAACCACGAACAGTAGCCCCACGAAGATAATTTATCAATTGGCGACCAGGTAACAGGCGCAATTACAACCGACGTCCAGGGTACAAATTCCCGGTGCTTTGCCCCGGCCCCGTCCGTGAGCTGTGGGTATTACGACCCGAGTTTACGAGTTGCACCGGTAGAGTAACACGCGGCCACCAACGGGCACGACAAAGTTTTTCAAAGTCCAGGACATCAGGTGCTAATTCAAACGGGGATTGTGTGCGGACACCGCATTCTACTAGCCTCTCATCCGTTGTTGTTCTCTTAACAAATCTGGTTACTATCATACTTGGTCGACACTGGAAAAAAAATACATTGGATCTAGAGTCAAGACTCTTGAAAACATTGACAAGAAAAAATACTCTTGATTCAATCGGATAATCGCTTGAATCAAAACAAAATCCGCTTCAATTAAGAGGCTTGGTTCTTGATTTAAGCTAGATTCTGATTGAATCAAGAGTACTTTTTCTTGTCGATGTTATTAAGAGCCTGGACTCTAGCTCCAATGTGTTTTTTTTTTCCAGTGGATTACAATGAACTGGAAGAATGCATCATGCAACATTGGATGTTTGAACCTTGATACACTCTCGTCGCGGTTATTGTCTTGGACGGAAGGTGGGCAGCACAGGGAGGAAAGGATCGTTGCTCTCAGGTGCTTATACACCAAGAAAGAAGGAACCAAAATCGTGTTATCACACGGAGCAGAATACAAACTCTCGGCTTATTTTGACAAGCGCCTAGGAAATTTGACAGTCAAATTATTTAGAGGAGCTAAGTCAGACATCACAATCTATACCCTCTCGTTGATATGACGAGAGGGTTAGTTTTAAAGAGTCTCGTTTAAAAGAGTCTTGCTTTCCCTTCTCCGCAACCACATTCTTAAAAATGTCCGTGTTTGTGGTTACTTTCGGTTAATTTGAGTTCCTTTTTTGGGTTAGATCTACCGAAAAGACTTGGTTGATTGACTAAATTTTTTATTAAATCGACCAAAACCGTAATTTGCTCTGAGACATCGGGGATGAAGAAAGTGTTCTACTGAACTAAGGTACTCTTTTTTCTCTGTTATCTCTCAGAAGTTACGATTGCGACATGCAAGTGGCTAGCGTATTCTACAACTGCCAATGTAATCCAGGTTCCACCCTGGCAGATAATGTCTGATCTTCAACGAGGTTGTAAATTTTCGAATTTTCAATCCAAAGATTTGGTCAATGTAAATTAAACCAATTCTAAAAAATAATTGCTGCACGCTTGAGTTCAATGGGAAAAGGTTCCTTGGATACAGAGTCCAGACTTTTAATAAAATTGACCAGACATACCACTCTTGATTCGATCAAAATTTTGCTTCAATCGAGAGCCAAGCCTTTTAACTTAAGCGGATTTCTTTTCGATTCAAGGGAAAATCCAATCGAATCCAGAGTAATTTTGATTGTGAATTTTCAAGAGTCTTGATTCTCATCGGAAAAAAAAACCACATTGGATCTAGAGTCCAGACTCTAAAGAACATTGACAAGAAAAAGTACTCTTAATTCAATCGGATTTTTGCTGAAATCAAGCACCAAGCCTCTTAATTTGAGCGGATTTCCTTTTGATTTAAGCAAAAATCTGATTGAATTAAGAGTACTTTTTCTTGTCGATTTTTTTTAGAGTCTGGACTCTAGATCCAATGTGTTTTTTTTTTCCCCCAGTGCTGAATTCAGGAGATCTTTTCCCAGTGTTACTATGTGCCCTCGTTCCCATATTACCACGAAATGTCCTTTATATTCTCTTATACTGTGCACCCCCCGAATATCGCGAATTTTCGACGGCTCAGCGATTTTAAGATCAAAGGGTGGATTAGCACTAACAACGATGGGGGACCGGTCCCCCGGGGGCCGGGGGCCCCGGAGTTGTGGGTGCGGAGCGGCAATGCCGAGCAGCGGCCGATCACCAGCGCCGCGCTTGTAATCCAAGTTTCATGTTAGGAGGCAATCAATTTCGATGTCAACCGGGGCTTAATTTATTAATCGGTTAGAGGCCGTTTAATCTTGTGTTTCTCCCGCCGGGTCCGGGCCCCGGCCGGCCACGTCCCTGTCGTCCTGATCGGGCTCCGAATCGGGTCAAGAGCGGGCGAGGGGCCCGCTCGGGAAGAACCCCGTATGAGCCATCAGGCGTTGCCAAATTTCCCTCCACAAATAACAAATTTACTGGGCAAATTCTGAATATTTTTCCCTCCGTTTTTCAGAAAATTTTGCTCGCATTTTAATCTATCACACGTGCAAATTTCAAGGAAAAAATCCATTCGTTTCGTCGAAAATGAATATTTTACTGGAGGAAATTTGGCAACTGTGCGATGCTGATATGGCGTTTTTGCTTAGCACGGTAGCGCTGGTCACTGGTCACCGAGCTGACCGCTGATCACGCACCTCGCGCCGGCTCCCGTTTCCCGACGCACGTGACGAACGCCCCCCTCTCGCCCCCCTGCCCCCGCCCCCCTCTCGCCCCCTGCCCCCGCCCCCCTCTTGTGAAGCGGGGCCCCGGGGAATGTAGGTAGGGGGCGGGAGAAGGGGCATTGTTCTGACGGACGACCAATCGGATGGAGTCTTGGGTTCGGGGGTGGGATTGTGCTTCCATGCAATGCGGTCGCGTTTTTCTGCGCGGATGATACTTCTTCCACAATACTTCGAAGCTAAGTGAGAATGTAGTATGAGCCATCAGGCGTCGCCAAATTTCATTTGACGAATTACGAATTTTCAAGAAAATTTGAGCAAAATTCACTTTTGAATCTTGAGAGGATTTTGTCCATAATTTGATCTGAAAAGTCTGAAATTTTCAAGGAAAAATATTCATGTTCTACTTCAAATATCAATATTTTCTGAGAAGAAATTTGGGAACATTCGAATGCTTATACGGCGTTTTTACTAAGCATGGCAGACTCTCTTGATTTTTTTTTGAATGTTTTGATTGGTGGATGCTAAAGTATCCATTGTATGCTTTTTTTTATTTTAGTCAATTAGTTTTTAGATTTTGAAGTGCCTCTTAAAGGCGTAGAATAGAAATTTGTCGATGATTTAAAAAAGAAAACACAAGGACAAATGCGTAAAAATATTAATATTTTGAAGTGTGGATCACTGATTAAACAAAGCTAAACAATAATAATGAATGTTTGTTTTGTTGCAGGATGAGTTTCATCCGTTCATTGAGGCGCTGTTGCCGTTCGTTAAGTCTTTCTCGTACACGTGGTTCAATCTGCAAGCTGCCAAGCGAAAATACTTCAAAAAGCATGAAAAACGCATGTCACTCGAGGAGGAGAGACGCTGCAAGGAAGAGCTAATGGTGAGTCATGCAATCAATTCCATACATATGTATACAGTTTCAGGTAATAATGGACAGCCGCCGTAACAAAATCAATACAAGATGCAAAATTAAGTGGTTCCTCAACTAAATGACCGTCTCCTGTACATTTGCATAGATAAAAAAGGGCAATTGACTGCTTCAAAATGAGCTGAGTTCAGTTTCATAATTTTATTGGGGGATGGACGGTGCGAAAAGAAAGCAGAGACGAGTGTGAATTTCTGTCAGAGCATCGTCAGCGTGCAGGTCATCTACTTTCTTCTTTTTTCATCGACGGTACGAATGACAGATTTATCGGTTCAATACTTCGTGAATTGGCCGTGTTTAATATGCAAACTGGTTATTGACCCGAGTCGTTTGTCCTTGCTCTTGAACGAAAGTTGTTCATCAGCGTTGTCAGACTACTCGTAATGTAGGGAAAACGGAAGATGAAGAGATACAGAGGTCGAAGTAAGTTCACCTGTATCTCTTAAAATAATATATTCAGGAACTATTTGTCAAAAATTTTAATCATCCACTACTGTCAATTTTCCAACGTGCTAAAAGAATTTAAATTTGGATCAATAAAACTCTTTAAATGTGGGTATCCTTTTGTGACGGGTTACCACGTATTTTTTCCGCAACGTACGTATAGCCCTTCCACGATTAATTTCATGAGTACATATAAATCTGTTCCAAAACATAAACTCTGTATAACACGTGTAATTGTAGTGAAGAGGAATCATTGTCTTTGTTAATATGGAAATATATCCCTGTATTTTTTCCCTCTTTTCCGTACCTATGCATTTCTGCAAACATGGCAAAACACGCTTACAAAAACAGCCAGAGACCTTAAATTTGATTCCTTACATGTACATACGTTTGAACAATCCCCACACATTCTTTTTTGCGGCAGTTGTAAGAGTATGATTTTGAATAGTTAGTATAGGTAAAACATGACTTTTGAACACAAAATAGGGGAAGAAATTACTAATTTGTATCAGTGCTAAAACTTGACTAAAAATACCATCACCATGTCCAATCCAAACAATCTCATTGGATTTTGTTTTAAATACCGAGTCAAGTTTTATTAATAAAAAATGTTTTTACGATCATTCCGCAGTTCTAATCCTTGGATGTTTTCATTGCCTGAATTACCAATATACAAAATAAAATATTCTCACCGTCAGTTCACTTGGAGCTTCTGTTTCTTAGCAACAAGCAAGAACGAACTATCAAAACTCATTAAGCCCCTTACAAAGAATATAGAACAACAACACTAGCTAACTATTATAAAACATTATAAGGAACGTTAAATAAATGGAAGGATGAACGGAGAGGCAAAGAAAAGATGGGGAAGAGGAGAGAATGCCAACATTCCCATGATTTTGTCTAATCCGTTAACAATTTTCCAGAAATATTCAACTCTAGCCCTTACCTCTTGCATGTTTGTAGCGGCATCACAAACCGCGTTCACTTTACCTTTGCCTTAGCCTTTGAATAAAGCAACTACCCACGACACTATTCCGATCATTAAAAGTCAAGCCCCCGTTTAATTGCGTCAACTCCGCCCATGAAAAATTAAAACCAGGAGTAACAACATAATAACTACAATCCGTTTGCAATCCCAGCACGAGCGCGGGGAGTCCAGGATGGAGGGAGGGAGGGGAGGAATGAGATGTTTTAATTGAGTTCTTATTTGGGATATAACTTAAGTGCCGGCCTATGTTGCCAATATTGTGGTTTTCCTTTTCAAGTATGATCTAATACACATGAATGTGAACATCAGTATTCGTCTAGGAAGTGAGAGATGCAATAGATATGTGTTGCATAGTTCGCTTTAAAAGTAAGCTTATCAATGTTTTCAACGCCTTATTGTGTTCAATAGCTGTTAAATAAATTCTGAATGACATTAAAAATTTAGATATTCTTAGAAATTATATTTCTTATTTGGGATATAACTTAAGTGCTGGCCTATGTTGCCAATATTGTGGTTCTCCTTTTAAACGGTGATTTAATACAAATAAATGTGAACATCATGAATTCATCAGGAAATCGGGAAATGCAATAGATGTGTGTTGCGTAGTTCTTTAAAAGTAAGCTTACCAATGTTTTCAACGCCTTATTGTGTTCAATAGCTATTAAATCAATTCTAAATAACATTAAAAGATTAGAAGTTTTAGAAATTTTGCGAATATTTTGTCAGATACATCTTATCTTTCAGTGGCGTTGCGTGCTTTGCGATGAATCGATTTATCTGCCATTTAAACCAATAGAAAATGATCGATAAATGGGATGTTCGCAACGGACACCTTACTAATCGATTCTTTACCATAGCTTCAAATGGGGACGATAATCGAGCATTCATGACTCCACACTGCTATCTATATTTCTGCAAACCATTCTGACATCAATCTTTTATTTGACCTTGTACACTGAAAAAAAAGGGTTTGGATTTTTGCCGGAATATCGGTGTACAACACCAACTCCGGATAGCTGATATGGCCCCAGCTAGTTATTTTGGATAGTAGGCAAACCCGATTTTGGTATCTACGCTGACTCGGAAGTTTAGCTAATATCTAAACTAGTTGGGCATAAATCTAAACCTGGTTTGGATCGCTAAATTGAAGCATCGGCAGCAAATTTTGGGGTTTGTAGCCAGGGGACAGTTGAAAAGAGCCCCCCCAAAATGGATTATTTACGGAAATAATGTCTAAAACCGCGAAAAATATGGTCCACGAGACTTTTAGAGGCATATTTCTCGATATTTACGTGCAGAATTTTTTTGACCTATGTCGGGATTAGAACCTGGAACCTACCTAACCGAAGACGAGGATCCTACCTACTGAGCCATGCCGAGAACTTGATGATTGGGGACGAAAACCCCGCATTTAGCTTCCAATTGCTAGGACAACCAGGATATCTTGACCAATTTACAAAGCTTTTGTTCGATTTTTATTTTAATGCATTATTTTACTTCATTTTATTTTTTCACTTCATTATATTATATTACGTCATTTGTTTTACTTCATTTTGTGTTTTTGGTTGATTTTCTTTAGACTTCAGGTATTTTATGTATTTACTTTATTTATTTATTGTCTTTATTTTATTAATTTACTTTATTTTATTTTTTACTTCATGGTATTTTTTTACTTTATTTATTTTTTTTTTTTTAGGTAGGTGCTTCGTTTTATTTTTTTTCATTCAACAGGGATGAAAGTAATTGTTCCTCAAATTTTGTTATAATCAGCATTTCCTTACTCTCTCTAAAATAGGAAAAAATGATGTGAAGGTCTTAAATAAAAAAGATTAGCTTACAAGGGGGAAAGTGGATAGAATGCCTAGTCAAATTCTAAACACGCATTATTCCCTTATTATGCAGTTCCAAAAGGTCATACCAGAAAAAATCTTTTGCTCAGTTTCAAGGTATTTTTTGGTAAATGATAACAATCCTGGCACGGAATAAGAACCCAGTGTATGTAGACAGCATAAAAATAATATCACTGAAATTATTGATTTTCGTTATGAATTCATTTAACAGGTACTTGTAAATTTAAATTGAATGTAGGACAAGCATCCATCAATTTTTTTATCATCAATCGATCAAAAAGGTACACTACCCACCCATTACAAATCTGATACCTAAACTCAAATCATTAAAATACAAGAAATCAGAGGATAACAGGGCTCTGGCTTTTCATCACCACATAATTCTCTGGAAATTAAAATTTTGGACATGCTAATGATGTAGCATTAAATGGATCGGTTCTCCTCCAGACTTCCAATCCTCTACTCTTGACTCCTGAATAATGGGCACAGAAAAACACAGCTTGACAGACAAACCTGGAGTCATAACGGTTCCATGAAAATGAAACATACTATTAATATTGTAACTGAAAATGGGGCTAGATATGTAAAGTTGCTAGTAGGTGTATATGTACTTAAGTACTTACGAACTTCTCCTCCGTGCTAATCATTGTTGTTCAGTTATCTGCAAAGTAAGTTCTGCAGGTTGGAAGTGTGGGTACATTGAAGGATATTCTGCTAACTGTCAAATTATAGTTCCGCAATTTAATTGCAGTAAAGAGCTAGAAACTATAATGTTGAACTAAGCAGGTTTGATGGATCGATATTCTAGAGAAGATGGAGAAATGAGTTGAAATAAAATGATTTCAGGGCAGCCTTTGAAAGAATTCCTCCAGAACTAATCTCTGGTTGAGTCATATGAAGTGGTAAAACTTTGAACCTCTTTGCCTGAATTTGATTTTGATGCGACTTGGTACCTTCCTACGAAATACAGTCCATTTCATGGATATTTTGGATACGCAGTGACTGTTATGAAAAACCAAGGCGGATAAAGAATGAAAATATATTTTGAGGTTAGCTTTAATGAAAAATAAACAATTGTGTTCTGGCGCTGAGCGGAGATGTAAATTGATTTCTAAGTTGTTATACGAAGTTAAAAATATTTCAGATGAGTTACCTGAGAAAAAATTGTCACCTTAAAATCTATGTGCCGCTGAAAGAAACCAAAATATTGAGCTTTGATACATACATGAGGTCCTGATTCTAATTACGAGCGACTCATAGATAGGTACACACTGTTACTATCCCATGTATTAAAACAATAACACCGATATCGAGCGATCAAATGATGATTTGGATAATGCTGATGTTTCTTGATTTAACAAACTGATGATAAGAATCACTGTCAGACTAAAGTCCTCCGGTTTCATCGCGAATTCTTGTCACGCAGCACGCCGCTCGAACGAACAGATTAGTTAAACATCTACACTCTTGAACGAAGGAATACTGCCTTACTTGAAAGATTAAAGATCAGCAATAATGCTTTCAGATGTGTTTAGTTTAATGATTAAAGAATTAGTAACATAATACCTTGACTCACCCACCGGGATGGTGTTATTGTTATCAGTTTCTGTTGACATCAAGTCAACAGCACTGACTCAACTGACTGACTGAGAGTTAAGTTCTACTGCATTCAG